ATCGCTACTGGTTGTGTAAGATAGAGAAATCTCAACCCGAGGACTAAGATGTTTTGTCCAGAACGAGGCTTGCCGAGTTCTGGACAAAAAATCTTAGTCCGAGGGTTGAGACTTCTCTATCTTACACAACCAGTAGCGATTGATTATTTTTCTCCCATATCTAACAGAATTTTAATGTGAAATAAAGGTAAACATGGACCCAAAACACATACAGGCAATTTGTTGATGGATTGTTGACGTGACGTCATTGTATTGCCATTGTTATGAATAGGGGAATCCCCCCGTCTCAACCCTAGGGCGGAGAAAGATAAATCTAGCACCAGCAAAACGGGAGATAAATCTGTCAGGTGTGGGAGAAAAAGAAATCTCACACCGGTAAAAATGCGGATACACCTGTCCAGGGTAAGAGAAAACAATCTCACACGCTGGGTGAGGCAGAGAAATCTTGAACAGGTATATCGGGAGATAATTCTGTCGAAGATGGGAGTGTGGGGAAATATGATGTCATACATAATGACTTTTATGACGTCACGCAAATCACTATATGAGTTCACACTCAAAATAAATGTCATGGATCTTTTTACGTCGTATATATGATGTTTTGTTTTCTCTCCCTAGATTCGTCAGGATGCCCCTGCGGGACACGTACAAGGTCCAGCTCAAGCGGGTGAAGGATGGGATTGAGAAGGAACGTGTCAAGATCCCTAGAGCGCCACCGAAGTAAGTCATTCCTGTAGCGCAAATGAAAGCTTAAGGACCCCCACACCACTAACTACGCATTTTTTTCTGTCGTTTTTCTGTCAGAACTAAAGCATTAACTTATTATTTCTGAAAAAAACACCTTACCCTGTGTATTTTTTATGAAAAGGAACTTTGAAAGAATCTAGAAAGAATCAACAATAGTGATAATAATTTTAAAAATGTCAGAATATGATTCGAATCCTTGACCTTCAATCATGATACAATCGCTCTAACCAACTGAGCTGCCCGCACATCGGTTTACCATGACCCAGTGGTGCTACACGGACAGTTATACACCGAAAAAGAAATTAAAGGGAGGTTACTGTGTCTACGAATTTTCCTGCATTTTGACAGGGATCCTGAATAGACTTATATATTTTGTTAAAATGATTTGATAAATATAAAACAATTGATATAGCGCCCTATCTAGCTAACATAAGCCACTCTAAAGCGCCTTACAGTACATAGATATACAATTTTATACAGTTAATACAATTAGCATATATATTAATCGATACAATTTTGAGGAATTCGCAGGAGCTGCCTTATCAGGGATCGAACCCCGGCCGCCTGCTTGGAAGACCGGAGTGTTAACCACTCGACCAATGATGTGTGTGGATATTTCCTCTCGATATTTTGAAAGGTGTTGCAATATCAAATATCCTTCTCTCGCCAATATAAACACTATTTGTGCTGTTACTATATGCTAGTGTGACAGGAGAATGGAAATGCACGGCCAGACCAGGGTTCGAACCCAGTACCCTCCAAAATCTATATACGGACGCTCTACCGATTGAGCTACCTGGTCGCCGACGATCGACCCAGTCAAGTTCCGCTACCTTCCTACCTCCTTTTTGTAAGTCTTCGCTCCCGAAGACACAACTATTTTCAACCCAGGTTCCGGTATACCCTTGCCAAGCATACACCAAATGCTTGAAACAGGGGTTGGTCACAGGCATCACTGTAACCGAAGACGAAAAAAGCACGGCCAGTTCGGGGTCCGAACCCGGGACCCTCCGAACTCTAGACGGACGCTATACCAACTGAGCTACCTGGTCGCCGCAATCTACCCAGTCCAGTTCCGCTACATTAGAAATAACATTATTTATGAAGAAAACATCAGGCCATAGAAAACATTATCCAAGTAGATATTTCACAACAATTATATGATCTTTATAATATTTATGTAACGAGTTAGTTAATATATCGGTGGTCGAGATGCACGCGTTTCGTTGTCTGAGAGTAGAGCTATAGTCATTGAATTCCGGTTACTTTGGTGTCACGTTATCTCATTATGATGTAAACGTCATCTTGTCGCGATGTAAACGTCATCCTATTGGGTTGCAAATATGTGATCGAGGGATTAAATGATAAGCATATAGATTGTATACTGTTCTAAATCAAGGAAGATAATCAAACACAGGTGTCTAAGTTATCTGTTGGTGTTTTTTTCAAGTCGCTTTTTATGGTCAATCGATTAATCGATATCTGCGTGGTGGGTTGATAAAAATATACAAGTAAATGACAAGGGGTCATTAAGGGTCATTTCCGGCATCGTCAGGGATTTAGAATTGGTTGTTATATTCGTAATCTGGGAAAAATGAAGAACGCAAATATGAAATTTCAAATTTATTCGACAACTGGTGTAGGAGATATGGCGTAACCAAAATAGATATAAACCCGCATTTTCCCCAATAAAATGCACGAATATCGTCGATTGTGTGCTTTTGGAATGCTTAAACATTGTCATACCCGTGGTAATTTGAAGGAAAGAATTTTTGGTTGTCACATACGGAGAATTTCATTTCTGCATGCTACATTTGTGACTGTCCAAAAATACCATATATACGCTAATTCTGCATAGCACCGCAATTTTGTTGCTATGGTGGGGCATCCACTCATGTGCAATGAAAATATTCTGCACCAGGAAAGATAGCCAATTAACAAATATGATGTTGAAAAAAGAAATTGGTACATTATGTAGATACATTTTAAGTTGGTATTTTATTTACTTTTTATGAGCTGAAAATTACCCATAACGCTTTTAAATCGTTTCTGTTAAATATCCACACTAAGTGTTTTGTAACCTTTTTAATCATTTCAGAGAGGGTTATAAGCCATTTATATGGAACAGTTTAGAGGGATACTATGACACGTCCGTACCTGATTACGTCATCAACTGTGTAAGTATGACGGGGAATCCACTTTAGTGATATTTTGAAAGAAATTCATTCTTCACTATTTATGTACTTGTGACGCTGTGATATACGATGTCTTTCGTGTATATATGTTATATTACAATAATGTATGTTTAGACGCTGGAATAGTTTCTCCTTTTTTATTGTCATTGTTGCACAATTTGTCTGATTTAATCATTATATAGACAGTATTTATTCATCTAGCTTGTTGTTCCTTTAAATTCGTTTGGTCATCTCCTCGTTGTCTTCTGCTGTCATTCGTGCGCATTGATTAAAATTTGAGGTACGTGTTTAATGATGCTCTTGTGTGTTTCTGTTGTGGTCACTTTCTTATGAACATTAATATTATTTGCAGCCGAAGGAGGACATGCACCCGCAGGTACCGTACAGCTGGGTGGACAAGGAAGTGAGTATAATTATCTCACTGAATCATTGATATGCTTTCAGTTGACAATTCTTGTTCATATATTGTAAATATACTTATTTTAGTGCACTTAAACTTTAGCGCTCATCATCGAAATTTTAACACAATAGCGTACTGAGGAATTTGCAAACCCCGAAAATATGCAAGAGAAAATAATATGCAGGAGCTTCAAATGTCGCAATCATAATTCAACGAAAAAATTAAAACGCGAAAACCGCTAAAATAAGACTCCCTCTAAAATAAGTACTTTTACAGTACATTGCCAATGTATCACTCTATCACATTCGTATGACGTTCATATTGGCTTTCATCCTTCCTAGACAGATGGCTGTTCTATTTATACGATAAATACATTATTTGAACCAAGTGAGGAATAATGATAATTGTAATTAGATTTTCTGTGAGATTAACAGATTCCAAAATGGTAAATATAAATATTGAATTGCTTTTAGTGAGCATTTATAGGCAATATGAATGCCAACCTTAACCCGCTGCTTATACACACTGTAAATAGCTATAGACATATTGATAAATATAAGTATATATGTATTCATCTTGTTTTACGGCTAATCGACAATGTTAGTTATTTAGTGCCAAATATGGAGAACAGATTTCAAAAAATAATATATTATCTAATCACGAAACTTGGCCAGTTCCGTCAAAGCTCGGAGTCCGAGCCATCGACGAAAGACCGAGTTATGGCGATTGAATTTGTCCCTACTTGTAAAGGGCCGTCTTTATATACTAGCTGTAACATATGTAACTTTGAAAATGCATTGCACGTTTCCAAGTGTTACTGTACACATTTTTTTAAAAAATCAATTAAACTGTTTCAGTGGAGATAATTCGTATAAATATTGAAAATTTAACACTTTCGTATGTTTGGGAGTCCCCTTACAATACAAGGTTAAATGTCAATCAGTTTTACAGACAAAAATATGAATACGCTGTAAACTTATACGAATGTCCTATAATTTAACGTATAGTCGGTGAGGAAAACATTTCTTTAAAATCTTGTTCGGATAATTCGATAGATTTTTACTTGCAAATTGGAAACCAAATAATATCAAATGCAGTATTGTTTACCAAATAATTTGCTATTTTGACGTCTTATCCTCAATCATGCTTTTTTGACGTCTTAATTCCTACATCATGCTAATTTAACGACTACGTTCCTCAATCATGCTATTTTGACGACTTTTAGATCCTTTATCAAGCAAATTGACGATCATGCTATTTTGACGACTAAATTCCCCCAACACTTTAGTTTGATGACATAATTCCTCCAACACTTAAGTTTGATGACTTAATTCCTCCAACACTTCAGTTTGATGACTTAATTCCTCCATCACTTTAGTTTGATGACTTAATTCCTCCAACACTTAAGTTTGATGACTTAATTCCTCCAACACTTTAGTTTGATGACTTAATTCCTCCAACACTTAAGTTTGATGACTTAATTCCTCCAACACTTTAGTTTGATGACTTAATTCCTCAATCACTATAGTTTGATGACTTAATTCCTCCAACACTTCAGTTTGATGACTTAATTCCTCCAACACTTTAGATTGATGACATAATTCCTCAAACACTCAAGTTTGATGACTTAATTCCTCCAACACTTCAGTTTGATGACTTAATTCCTCCAACACTTTAGTTTGATGACTTAATTCCTCCAACACTTTAGTTTGATGACTTAATTCCTCCATCATGCTATTTTGATGACTTTATTCCCCCAACACTTTTGTTTGATGACTTAATTCCTCCATCACTTTAGTTTGATGACTTAATTCCTCCAACACTTTAGTTTGATGACTTAATTCCTCCATCACTTTAGTTTGATGACTTAATTCCCAAAACTTTTTAGTTTGATGACTTAATTCCTCAAACACTTTAGTTTGATGACTTAATTCCCCCAACACTTTACTTTTATGACTTTATTCCTCCAACACTTTAGATTGATGACATAATTACTCCAACACTTAAGTTTGATGACTTAATTCCTCCAACACTTCAGTTTGATGACTTAATTCCTCCATCACTTTAGTTTGATGACTAAATTCCTCCAACACTTTTGTTTGATGACTAAATTCCTCCAACACTTTAGTTTGATGACTTAATTCCTCCAACACTTTAGTTCGATGACTTAATTCCCCCAACACTTAAGTTTGATGACTTAATTCCTCCATCACTTTAGTTTGATGACTTTATTCCCCCAACACTTTAGTTTGTTGACTTAATTCCTCCAACACTTCAGTTTGATGACTTAATTCCTCCATCACTTTAGTTTGATGACTTAATTCCTCCAACACTTTAGTTTGATGACTTAATTCCTCCATCACTTTAGTTTGATGACTTTATTCCCCCAACACTTTAGTTCGATGACTTAATTCCTCCAACACTTTAGTTTGATGACTTAATTCCTCCA